GTGTTCTTTCTAGTACTGTTTATTACATGTAAATGAAAAAAATTTGCCCTATATAATGACATGCTGCACTATCCTGTATGTGATTATCTTTCTCTCTCCATATTTAAAAATGTGTATGAATTACTTTTAGAGTTAAAAACAATGTTATGAGAAGATGTTGTGCAAGCTGATGGTTATAAATAGATTCAAAGAGTATATCCAGAGGGCCATGGAAGCCTAATTCCCACAACATTTTCATTTCCACTCAAAGAACAATTAGTGCTTTTCCTGAACTTATTTCAGTAATTTTTGTTATTTCATCTGTATTAAATTATTTCCACAGACATTCTTGTGCTTGTGATAGATGTTAGGCACAGGTAAAGAGACAATGTTGACATTTTATTTGGTTTTCCATCTAATGATGCTTGCAGACTTTAAACGGATGTTCAAACAATATGGAAAGTGCTAGGTAAAACTACTATTTACTGAAAAGTTGCAATATCTAGCTTATTCTAGGGTCTGTGAATGTGCTATTTAATCTGGAACACGAAGAATGAGAATGATTTTTCAAGGTAAGGTGGTAGAATGGGAAGATGATTTAATGTATAAGATGCTGATGTGCATTGTATGTAAAGAAAGGACAATGGACGCACATTTTGGGTTTCAAGAGTAAATAAGAAGAGGAAATTGAAGAGGCCAACTGGGGCCAAATAATCCCTGTCTGGATTTTATTCTAAGGATAAAGGGAGTCACAGCAAGGTGTTAAGCAGAGAAGTGAAACAATACAAGTGGCTTGTGTTAAATATAGCTTCTTTCTATATTTCCACCCAATTACCAAAAGTGTAATAAAATCTCACGTATTGAGCCAATTTTAATACTAGTGATACAAAACACTAACAGCATTTTTGGTTCCAAATCGTCATATTGCCTTATTTGACCGTAATGGTAAGCTATTAAAGTTGCTGTTATTATATCTGGGGGGGGGGTGAGCTGATAGAAATTATATGATATACCCATGATCCTACAAGTAATGCATTAGCTGATCAGAGACTTTCAGTACCGAGATGGTATTCTACATCTATGCTATTCTTCAAATGAGACCTTCAGTTCATATTTTAATGCTAACAGTTTAATTCATTCAAATATACATAAAATGAAAAACAACATGTAAAGATAGGCTAAGGCACATTAATAATTAACATGTTAATGTCTGGTTCAGAAATTAAGCAGCTAGCAATGAAGAAATTTGGGTAAACCATTTAGGGAACTACAAAAGGGAATTTAAATTACAAAACTGAAGACCACAATCCCCCACATGTATTCCTTAAGCCAGTGGACAGGAAAGACTCAAACAGGAAGAAAAAAAGGGGGGGAATATGGAAGAAGCAGATACTGTGAACTGATACCTGCATAATGTTTGAAAAACAGAGTCTAGAACACAATAGAAAAAAATTTATAGTGCCTTGTACATCAAAGAGCATATAAGGACCCAGCAAAAATAGTCCTTAAAGTTTTTTTTAAGGCATTGAAATGTAATTATAGCACAAGTAAAATGACAGTTCTTTCTTTTGCCATTCAAATTTTTTATTAAGAACCTACAGCGTCCTAGTGACTGAGCTAATCATGTAATCAATGGGGAGTCCTTGAAAAACATACCTCTATTACCCAATGAAAAAAGCATCAAAGCATTGGCAGAAGTGAAAAAGAATAGTGCAAGTACAAGAAGACGGTGGAAAACTAAATCCGTAGGTCTAGAGATATTTCTCCAGAGACTTACTTATCATTGAATCCTACATATTTCAGAAAAAAAATTAAAAGCGCAATGCCAAGCTATGTTTCAAATCTCAAAAAGTTGATCAAGATTAAAGACATGCTATCCACACACAGGTCTCTTCGATGCTAATGGAGTGCTCAGAGCTAGTATAAGATTTTTTTTTGAGAAAACACGTTATTGTTTTAGGTAAAAACTTAAAAAACAAATGAGGTTACCATTTAACAATTTTTATATAAAATTCTCCATGACATTAGTTACAACTTCTACAAGTGTCATCATGTGCATTGTTTTATTCTTCTTGTTCTGTACCCATTTATCTGGTAGAATATTTTTAGTCATGAAAATGGTTTTTTGAGAGTTGGAATTGATTCTCTGTATGGTGTATATCCAGAACAAATCAGGGTGTGAATAGATATATGCACACCTATGTTCATCGCAGCACTATTAAAGTGTGAAGATGAAAATAATAATAATTTATACATTATCAAGGGTTCATGAGGGAGGGGGGGCAGGGAGGAAGGGGGAAAATGAGGAGCTGATACCAAGGGTTCAAGCAGAAAGAAAATGCTTTGAGAATGATGTTGACAACAAATGTACAAATGTGCTTGACACAATGGATGGATGGATGGTTTGTGAGAAGAGTTGTACGAGCCCTCAATAAAATGATTTAATTAAAAAAATAAAGAGTGAAGATGAATCTTCAAAACACCTTATAATGTGGATGAATCTGGTGGATATGAGGTGGAGTGAAATTCACCAATAGCAAAAAGACAAATGTTGTATGAGAGATCATGATGGCAAAATGTTAACAAACATCATTCGATGACTACTACCAAAGGTGGAAGAGGGAGGGAGAGTAAGTCACTGAATAGAGGTTAGACACCAGTTAACTTCGGTGAAGGTAATCTATAACAAAAAGGAAGTCACCAAAATGATGGGGGTAGAGGAAGACTGGGAGGGTGCAAGATTTAAAGGCAACAGGAAAACACTGTCATACACACAATTCAGAAATAATGGTACTCTAAGAGAAGACATGAAGGCTGACCGGCGAAGGAGGGAGAGTGGCAGTATACATATATATATATATATGACAATATTTTAGCATGGGTATTTATTTACCTTTGCTGCAAATATATCCATCAATGTAATGGAGGGAGAGTGGCAGTATACTCACAAATATATAAATATATATATATAACAATATTTTAGCATGGGTATTTATTAACCTTTGCTGCAAATATATCCATCAATGTAGTGGAGCACATAGGGCATAAAGTTATGAAAATTCTTAGATTTAATCAAACATCTCGAGGGAATAAGTCACAGGGCCTTTGGGCTGAGGGCCATGAAAAGACACCGAAGTCAGTCACAACATAGTCCACAAAGATGATGCTCTACACATCCTACTTTGGTGAGCAGTGACTGGGACCTTAAATGCTCATGAGCAACCATCTAGGTGCAACTATTCATTTATCTCTGCCTAGGCTAAAGAAGAGCGATGGAAATCGAAAGCTTGTGGAAAGAATGGACTAAAGGATCACATGAACATCAGATTCTATGCCCCCAGACAGAAAAACTAGATTCTATGTCCAACAGCCACAACCAACAGCTAGGAAAGGAATTGCATTAGAAGGTCCTGGGTAGAGTGGGGGAAATGTAGAACAAAAATTCAAAATCAGAAAAAAGAACAACTTATAAAAATTAATTGACTCCTGAGACTATGGGCCCTTAATCTGACCCTTGAGGCTCAATTTTCATCCAAACATGGGCAGGTTTGTAAGGGGGACAACAACACTGGGGAGGTACACTCTTTAGAATAACAAACCATTTGAGATAAAAAAAATCCAGTATTTACCTAAGAACAGATGCAGAAGGCTTGAGAAAGAGGGAATAATATAAGGAGAATCACAGGGAGGAAGTAAGATATGATATGTCACTTATGGGAATTGCATTCAATGACATGGAAAAAATGTATGAATTGTTGAATGGACAACTAATCTGGTCTATAAACCTTCACCCACTTCACAATAAAAAGTTCAAGAGGTTTGGGGAGGGGATTAAAATAAGCAGAGGGTTTATAGTAAACAAACAACAGACTTCTGAAATACAGAGTATGAGGAATTAGAATGTCATTGGCAGTCACTGGGCATGTGCTATTTAACTATATTTAGAATATTGATGAGTGATTTTGATACAGATATTTATTAAACACTCACAATGTGAATGCTTGTGGAAACCAAGGGTTAAGGTTCTTGCAATATCTAAAGAACCATACATTTAATGTGTTGATACTTTATAGAAGTATATATTTTTAAAACATGCTGTTATTCATGAATATCATTATGTTAATCTCTTAGTCAATCTCAGAATACAATGAAAAGTCACACTCACCCAAGAGAATATGTTGTTGTTGTGTAACTTTTGAGTTGATTTCTACTCATGGTCACTCTGTAAGACAAAGTAGAACTGCCACCATAGGGCTCCCTTGGCTGTCCTCTTGACTGGAGCAGCTCTACCGGTCAGTTCTACTTCTGCTCAGAACCTCTGGTGGGCGAAAACTGCCACTTCTCCTAGCACTTCACTATTGGGCCATGAGGACTCCTTTAAGAGCATAGATACAAACTCAAAGATCCCTGGATGCTATTAGCCATATAAAATTCCAACATTATGGTAATAGCATTTATTTAAAATAGATGCAAATATTTTAAAATATGAAGGAACTTTGTGAGTTTGGGAAAGTGTTTGAACTTAAAAAAATTAAAGATGTTTGAAAATACAGTTTACTTTCACACTTTAAATCTGATTAAGGAACAGTGAGATTACTCATCAACTGGAACATACAAAGAAAACTTCCAGTCACTGTATCTTGAAAAGGGAGTCCTGGTGATACGGTGACCCAGTGCTGGGCTGCTAACAGAGGTTGGTAGTTTGAGAACCCAGGAGCCACTCCAGGACAGAAGGCTGTGGCAGTTGACGGCTGTACAAATTACACCCTTGAAAACTCTGTAGGGCAGCTCTACTCTGTTCGTAGGGTCACTATAAGTCAAAATTAACTCACCCAGCAATTGTTTTGCTTATACGTCTTTGCCTGGAGCAGTGCATTTAAAAGTATCATGTACAGACTTGGAATGAAATGGTTACGTTTTCAATAGGAAAGAGCCATCCAGATAAAGCATTAAAAAGCAAAAATCAATAAATGAACTGTGATTAGCCTTAGTAAAACAATCCGATCAAACCAGACTGCCCCCTTACCCCAATACATTGCAGAGTAGAACTAGACTTCATATGGTTTTCAAGGGTGTGAACTGTGGGAAGTAGGTCACCAGCCTCTTCCCGGATGCATCTACGGGTAAACGTGCCAACCTTCCAGTTATTACTCAGCGAGTAGGTCAATGTCAACAATATTTAACTGAATTCAAAGCTATTCCTGAAACTAGCATTTGTCTCACTAACACCATCAGCACCCTGTGAAAGGAAGTTGGGTAAAATTGGCTTCAGATACTTGAACTCGTTGGTCCCAGAAGCTCCTGTTAGACACACCTCATACTGGTAGCTCTGGGATAGAGTCCCTGTGCCACACACGTCCACCAAGTGGCTTGGAAAGCGGCCCTCAGGCACCGAACA